CTGCATGCATGGTTAACATTTCCCTTCACTGCTTCATTCCAGACAATGATTCATTAATTCAGAATGACTCTAAGAATGTTTGGTGGGAGGTGGCTATTGATATTCCCTGGATATACACGGTAAGGATCTGGTTAACTAACATATTATTCGTTAGCTAGCAGTTGCTCCGCCATCGCAGTTCTGATCCCACTTTCATATCAGACAAAGTAATACTTATGAAAATATCATTTTATCCGCTTCTATACAAAAAATGTGGAAATGGAGATCTAGTCGTGTTTTGGCTAGACTAGACTGACTAACTTCAGAACATCCAAATCCTGATGACGAGCGCAACACTTCACTAAACTAGGTTTCGCTATGTTTTGGTCGATGATCCATTACTCATAGATACTGGGCCATTTAAGGAGTTTAGGGCTAGATTACATATTTCAGAGCATTCTATTGGTTAACGTAATATGCCACTCTTCAGATGTTTCAGGTGTCAACTGACACTGCAAGCTTTCACAAAACTTTAAAAGTAATAAACTGAAGTTGTCTGTTATGGCAAAATTTACATGACAACCTCTATACGGGACAGGCTTTCAACTAGATCCGATATTCTCTTCAGCCGGTAATTTCTTGATTTATTATATGGAACAATTTCAGAATTTCATCTAGGGGTACTGCTTGTGTTTGTACATAGCCAAACAGTATTTCCGCTGCAACTGACGATATAATTAAAGAGCAGATTAAAATCAATCAAGTCATGCCACCTATCATAGAGAAGCAGCCCCAAAAGTCTGATATGCTAAATGTTAATGTTAAGACTAAGTTTCAATCTGAACTAAAAAGCAAACTACATTACTACAATCAATTGCTGCTAGTTTATGCACCAGGAAAAATTTTTATACGTTTTACTTCCAAATAATAAACAATCCAAAAGAATATCAACTGTGCAAACAGCAGCCTATTAATTTAACATTCGCCACCACCTAATTCTCCTATTCCTTCGCATCAGCTTTATCAGTGTTGAATGGTTTGTCGACTTTAATAACACCACAATCATCGATGACCACGGCTTGAACGGGTCGGTCTCCATCGTCGGTTTTAGTACTTTCGATCTTACGGACGACGTTCTAGAAAATGTAAGTTCAACATAACAGTTGAACAATTTAAAATCGAAAGCTGCTTTTACCATTCCTTCTAAAACTTTTCCAAAAACAACATGACGGCCATCCAACCAAGGAGTAGCTTTCACGGTAATGAAAAACTGTGAACCGTTTGTATCCTTTCCGGCGTTCGCCATGCTGACCCAACCGGCGCCATAATGTTGTAGTTTGAAGTTCTCGTCTGGGAAACGTTCGCCGTATATACTTTTTCCTACAATTAATCGCAAGCACCGTTATAAAACAGAGCTTGTAGCGAAATGTAATAAATTCTGCTTTCGTAAAATGGTTAGTTAACAAAACTAATCACTTATGTACGCATAATTATAACATAATTCGTAACTCCCTCATCTCTGGAATGAAGATCACAATTCTAGAAAGTTTTTATAAGCCTCAAGGTCTGAAAAAACCTTTTTCATTAATAAGGCAGCATTTATGAAAGCCGACTTACTTTACCAACGCCAGAGAATAAATTTGCCTTAACAATATTCTTTGGCGTTCTCAATCGATCGGTTATTGCAGAAATAAACATGTTTGTTCACATCGAATTAACATAAATGCGGTTAAACCGCTTACTGAAAACGAAATCCAAACATAGTCAATTCATGTTGATTAATGTCTAAGAAACACAGAAAAAATCCTATAAGTGTGTCTAGAGACTTTCGCTTTGTGCAGTATCAAATAAAGCATCGAATAATCTATTTCAGTCAAGCAAAAGATCACATAAATAAATAGTTTACCACCAGTTCCATCGCCTTTGGTGAAATCGCCACCTTGGATCATAAAATCTTTAATGACACGATGAAATTTGCTGCCCTTATAGCCTTTCTATAAAGTTCATTTTGAATATAAACGCAAAAACACGTACTATAAAGTCAGAATTTTCAGGGATATGATTATCATAACAGTGAACATTAAATACTCAGTAAATTAACAAAGATCACTAGCAAAAGAAAGGAATGAATAAAACCAAAAATTTAAGTTACCTAAATTTAAGTAGAAGTAGGACTGAGTAGAAACCGATAGTAGAATTATGTATTAACCGATAACCAACATATACTGATTCTGATGCTGGAATCATCAACAGCATCACCAAGAACGATGTTCATTTTGACATGATGTTAGCACACTAATTAATAGCTCTGTTCATTCTAAATCGTAATCCGTTAATGGGATGTCATAAGAACAAGATCAAAAGACTTAACATTACGAGCTGTGAAAGCAGAGATGACTGAACCGCCGATTGCTGTTCCCATAAGCGTCGCCCATATCAGCCCGGCTAAAGGATTCATAGCAGAACAGGAGCCATGGTTGTGCCATCTACAAATCTACTACAGCGTTTATTGCGCGGGTAAACAAACGACCAGAGCAAACCTAAGGCACAGGGAACCATTTAAAGCGCATGCAACGGTTTGTCATTTAGTTTCCACGTGGCCACCAAACAAATTGTCATTTAACTTTATCTACATACTCGCTTTAGGTTGAAGCGTCAACTGAAAGCAGCGCATAACTGAAGGAAAATTTTATAAGGTCCATGATAGACCCGGAAAACAAAACGTTGCTTTTCGAAAGGTGGGTGAATGGTGCTAAATATGGAATCGAACAACTACAACTAGACAAAATATCGACAGATTTTAAATAACTACAGTTTAATAAACGGTTTAGGGCAAAAAACGGTACTCCAGATAATGTTACCATCTTAACAGCAAAAAGATTATGGCAAGAGCAGGATCAGAATATCTGCTGAAATTAAAAATTTACTTATAAGAAAAAGCAGTCAGAGGGAAGAACATTTATAGATGACACTGAGTTCGCCTGCATTTAAATCGCTTATAATTTAAGGGAGGTTTTTCTGGCTGATGTGAAATTTGAATTCACAATCGAAGGGTACCCCAAAAAAGTTTCTGTGAAATCGATGACTTTCCTGATCAAGTACAACAAAACTTGTTCAGCTAACCAAACTGTAAGAAGGATCCGGGTACTGTAAGAAAGAATTACATCTGCTAATGGTAAAACACGCTGTTTGTCTATATTTCTTCATTATGACCCATTGCTTGATGCTGAACAGCGTAAATTCGTCCAACACGTCGTTTTCGAAGAAAAACTCATTCGACAACTTGCAGGTCTCCAACCAAGAGACTTACATTAATTAAGATTTTAATTAGGACGAAAATTTTATAATCATTTTCCAACTTTACGATCAATTTAGCAGCAAAGAATCGCTACGAGTAATTAATACCAACTTTATGCTTAAAAATATCTTACCCCCGATGGTAGGGTGGCCAGTTCAGCGAAATTTTTAACGGTTTTCGGTACGGTGTTGCCAAAAAGTCCAATAACAATTCTTCCTGCCTTTTGGCCTCCAATTGATATGTCAAAGAATACCTAAACAAAATATAAAATTTGTATTCAATATGCAATGTAAATATTTGTTGAATGTATATGATGTAACATAGATTACAATTAGCATATTTTCGTACTGCAAAAACGAACCATTTATGTAAAAGTCACATACGAAAATAAACTTTTTCTAAGTTTTCAATTCATTGGCTTTGGGCGAAAGATAAAGGCCAATATTACGAAATCTTTATTGGACAGTAGTAAAAGCTTCGACCGCACTACAACGACCTTAAAGGAAAAAACTATCTCGGTAGTTGTAACAGTAGTATGCCCAGTCATATGATGGCTAATACCGAATGCGAAGCTCATGTTCTAATGAATATGACTGCCATCTTACTTCTGCACGAGTTCCTTTTTTGACATCAAAAAATGAGAAAACTCCCTACTTCTATGGCCCAAATCTGTCAGATGTTCAGAAAGCAGCTGTATGAGCAGATTAAGCAAAATTTCCTTTTTAGTACGAAAAACCCGACTGTTAGTTCTGCTTAGAACCTGCCAAAAATTCTACAGGATTCAATATCATAGGTAGAAAGGAAAAGAGGATTAAACTTTCATCTACTTTGGTCCTGAAATATCGTTACTACGAAACGTTCAATGTTTTTCGCCTTCCATCGTTGTGACCTTGATGATATTGCAGTGATGTTGTCGAAAAGCAGAAATGTTATTAAAAGAATTGCTTTGGTTTTTCCATCCAAAAAAGTGAAATGCAGATTATTGTCGGTATCTTGAACTGGGTAGTAAATCAGCATCGACTCTGGCATGCATCCATTTAACTACAATTATGTCGTTCCGGTATTTCAGTCACAAATATGGAGATTGCATTTAGCCTGTTTGAAAATGTCATAATCATTTATATGTTTACTGTAAACGAACAGGAACAACTATTAAATAAGCCACAATCGCTGGCAACCATTAGCCTACTTTTCCAATGAATGATTCAGGTAGGCCATCGAATATATGCCTATCGTGAAGTAAGAAAACTACTATTGAAAACAATAGTTTTGTTGCATCGATTTTTACGTCACTGAACGTGAACTTGATAAGTTTAGAATCGCAATGAAGCCAAACCAGTTAATTTCTATTAGGCTACTTGTCCAAGTCTCTACTGATGGAATACATTCGACCTTGGAATACATCGACCGTATACGCGTCAAAACAAAAAACGGAACGCTATGGTATACTGTGTAAACGAATACATCCGAAATTGCCAATGTCGTAGCGCATGGCAGCAGCACAATTATAAAATGAGAATGCGTTCTTCTAAAGGGAAGGCCACTCATTAACGGGAACGTCATTACGCAGTATATTACACTAGCTGATAAAGGAGACAGCAAGCCATGGAGATACGACATTCGTTGACTGCAGCTAAATTCTCACTTCATAGATAGTTTGTTCTAATGTTTAACCGCCATTCCTAAAATGATTTCTTAGTGGATTCAATGACATGCTGCAAACCGAAGGATAGCGTATCCCATTTCATACTGAAAAAGTCGTGACGTATCAATTCTATTATCTTAAGTCGTCTCCATTCCGTAGATCCACGTGTTTCGAATCATTAATCGAAATGCAAATATTCATACTGTACTTAATACAGAGCATGTTCTGTGCCAAATTACGTTCTGTTATTCATCCTGATGTTAATATGTTACCGACATAAATTAGGTGAGCTGCGGCTTTCTCTGCAATTTTCTCGTTTAGTTCCACTATTATTCATTTTCTCTTCAACTGAACAGGAAAACCACTGCTGCGAAGTCAAAACTTCAACAATCAGAATATTAAATATTTTTACAATCTATCTTACTCTGAGCATAAAATCTTTGAACCAGAACAAGAATCGCACAAATTACCTATTTAATTTCTACATACAATTGCCTAAGCTATGCTGAAAACTAGAATATTCTGTAGTGAACATGCTCAAACAGCGAACTTTAATCGACAGATTTTCTTCTTCGGCGGATCTTACAGTTCACGAAACGTCACAACATGTAAACATATGCATATAACCCTGGGTATGAATTTTAAAGTTAATGATTATTCCTTTTTTCTTTTCACCTTGGAACCTGCAGATGATCTGCTTTGTCTTTGTCTCCATATTTACCTACGGTCATGAGTCGTGGAACATCACTGAAAAACTTCGAACCCGGGTACAAGCTGCTGAAATGGGCTTAGACGAGTCGGTGGCCTTACGCGTCTCGACGTGGTCCGGAATACTGATATCCGGCTCTGGAAGAGCCTTCTCGAGATTGAGAAGTCACAGCTATGATGGTTTGGGCATGTGTTGCGAATGCCTCCAGAAAGGAAGGCTAAACACCTGTTTCTTGCGAATCCGACCGGCAGAAGGCTCGGTAGACGTCAAGATTAACCTGGTGCAAATATATGGAAGGAATCTGTTCCAGACTGCATTTGTCTTTTGCCGAAGCT